GTGATGAGGAGAGAGAGAGGGGAAGGGGCAGGTGACAAGGCAGGGGGGAACTAGAGGGGCCGGTGATGAGGAGAGAGGGCGGGGAGGGGCAGGTGCGGGGTGAGGGTTTGGGGGGAGGTGGAACAGGAGGTGGTTGAAAGGCGAGAAATATCGCCCGGAACCAAAGTTCCGGCAGATTGTGACATTTGGTGCCGAAATGTGAGACGGACAGAAACCAGGAAGTAAAGAGCGACAACAACAACAGAGAGAGAGAGAGAGATGGCCCGGGAGCCGTGGTAAGGGAAATAGGAAATGGGGGGGGGGGTGATTGGGGGTGATGGTGGGTACTTCGAACCCCCTTTTTTCATATCAGCCGCCTCCGGTTCAGCCGATTGCGGTTATTGGGGGAAGGAAAGCCCCACAATCTCAAAGTGGGTGAGTTGTGTTGTGTGTGAGAGAGAAACATCCTTTAATCAGGAATCTTTACAGCACCCGGTTTGTGAGATGTCTTTTGTAAGGGGCAGGGCTCAATACCTGTATTGACTCCGGGTTAAGCCCCGCCTAGATTTAAAAATTCTCATCCTTTTCAAATGTTCCTGTAACCTCACTCCTCTCTGTCACCTGCTAAGCCCTGAAATTCCCTTCCTAAATCTCTCTTCCTGTTGTATTGCACATACCTCGTTTAAGTTGCTGCTTAAAATCTCCCACTTTCATTCTTCTTTTGGTCATCTGTCCATAATGTTCTCTTATGTGTCTCCGTGTCAAATATTGCAGAGATGTGTTTTGATGGTCTGTAACTTTAAAGAGCACTGTGGTCGTATTTGAATTGGCGTTGCTGTTTTAAATGCAGTAAGATCCCATCAAGAGCAATGAACTTGTTTGATCATGCAAATTTGTAGGTCATTGAGAACCCGTCTAATTCAGCAAGAGACCTTTATATCCACTTAAAACGTGGGAATACACAGAAGGGGGCTGAGTTTAACATGTCAACTCGGTGACAGCATCCTGAACTTTGCAGCAGCTTCTTCATGCTGTATGGATCTGTCCAAATAGTTCAAGTCTTTGAACATTTGAGAAAGAGACTTGAAACTCATCCTGTGGCATAGGCAAGGGGGTAACCAAAAATGTCATGGGAAAATGCTATTAAAATATATTTCAGTGCTATTTAAATTTGCATTCTAAGCATTTTAATTTGATTCATGTTTGGATATCTGTAATAGTCTTTCCCTTGTTCTATAGGTTAATGAAATATGATTCCTCCTGTCATCTAGCACAGGAAATTGCTGAAAATATTCATGAACGTAATAGACAAAAGAGAACAGGAGGTAATCCTTCCAAGGTAAATTAAATGGTGGATACTATTATTTTGCAGTTCCTCTTTACAAGAACATTATAAAATCTCAAAATCACACCTGTACAGTAGACATAATTTGTATGAAATTTTAAGTGAGAAAACTATACACTAGGTTTAATTTTAAATTTATATGTGATTTACACATGTATTTCTATTCCCAATATTTTTCATTTGTGTGTTTCTTATTTTTAAAACTTAGCAATATATTGCCTGGACAACCTGACACCCCTGGGATATACTAGGTAGGGATGTAAACTAATTAATTTTAACTTTCAAACATCCTGTCATAGAGATCTACAGCACAGAAAAGGGCTCTTTGGCCTACTGCATCCACACTAATCAAAAACAACCACCAAACTTATTCTAATCCCTTTGAATCTGGGATGTACATTAGTAATTTATAACTACAGTGCAATCAACTGCAACTTACCAGCTCCATTTGGAAGCCGACAGAGGACCACCTATTAGTTAGTGGTTTCACCTCTAATTCTAGCCAATTTAAGGAAACGTGAACTCTCAAGATGTTGTTAAATTTGAAAGGGTTCAGAAAAGATTTACAAAGATGTTGCTGGGATTGGAGAGTTTGAGCTATAGTGAGAGGCTGAATAGGCTGGAGCTCTTTTCCCTGGAGCATCGGAAGCTGAAGGGTGACCTTATCGAGGTTTATAAAATCAGGAGGGGCATAGATAGGGTGAATAGCCAAGGTCTTTTTCCCAGGGTAGGGGAGTTCAAAACTAGAGGGCTTTGGTTTAAGGTGAGTGCAGAAAGATGTAAAAGGGATCCAAGGGCAACTTTTTCACGCAGAGGGTGGTGTGTGTGTGGAATGAGCAGCCAGAGGATGTGTGGAGGCTGGTACAATCACAACATTTAAAAGGCATCTGGATGGGTGCGTGAATTGGAAGAAGTTTGAGGGATATCGACCAAATGCTGGTAAATAGGACTAGATTTATTTAGGATATCTGGTTTGCATGGACGAGTTGGACTGAAGGTCTGTTTCCATGCTGTACAACTTTATGACTCTATCCTTGGAATTGTCATTACCTTACAGCTATTTACAAATTTTTCAAATCCAGGATTTCCCATTTCTATTATGTTTATTAAACATTTTGCAACCCTAAATTAAAAGTTATACTCCTAAAACATATGAATCATGAAGTTAATCATTTTTACAACACTACAATGGATTTGATTAAGAGCAGCATCCTTTTCCTTCAAACAATAAGAATGGTAAACTGACCTGCTTTTGGTGCAGCTGTACTTTTTAATTTCCTTTAATTTAGTTTTAGATCCAAACTGCTGTATTGTACAGATAGATTAAATTGCTTTGAATTATCAATTGGGCATCTGTCAGTTTTGTTCAATGCTGCAAAAGTGTAATTCATGGGCCTTAGGAAGGATAGATTTTGTGGGCAAAATCACTTTTTCCTCGTTTCAAATTTTCAGTATTTAATGGCCACAATGTTTCTTTCAGATCAACAGTGAAGTTAATAGTGCTGAGCTGTATTTATGTACAAATGGTACAACAATTTTGAGTATGGTTAAACTCCATTTTTAACAAGTTGCTGTTCAAATTGTTCTGCCCTGCCATTCACTTCAGTAAAATGGCATTCTGCTTTCCACCTCACCATTGAAAAACATTGAACAAATGAAAAATTGCTGGACAGTGGATAAGCACTAAATTTGTCACAGAACTTTTGAAGTCATTTAAAACTTTCTAGGAACTCCACCATGTGGTGACGCCTTGTCCAACAAACTGCAACACGGATGGCAACGTTGTACAGAAGCATCGAAAGCAGGAATGAGAGCAGAATCTTGGCCGAGAACCTGCACTCCCCCAGCCCCCTGCCCCTTCCTGCTTCAGCCCCTCCCCTTATCTTCTACACCCCTCCCCCTCCCTCGTCTTCCACATTCTCAACCTCAGGAGAACAGTCTTCCTCTCTACTCAAAGGCCTGTGGCTCCAGGATTGGTCAGTGAGTCATCTGAGGAGCCACAAGCCTCAAGGTGAGGAACTGAAGATGGCAAATTTCACAATTTTGCAGTCAACCTGCATAAGTAGTTGTACAGTTGTCTGCCTGTTTTCCCAGATGCCCAGTTTCTGTCGCTATGGCTTAGTTAGCTCGTACTTTAAGTAAACTACCACGCAAAACAACCTTAAATATGTAAAGACAAGTTTAACAAATAGCAGATGTCATTAGATGTCCTACCACAGCAAATTAATGACTGGTGTTTGTATGCAAGTTTCATATCCTCTGTGATTATCATTAATTTTACTGTGAAACAAGGCAGTGTTCAGTAATAACCAATTCATTTGGAAGTGTTTTATTTTGATTTGAATGTTTCTTATATAACTAAACACTATGATGGTATGAAAGTGAGGAAAGTTTTATTTTCTGAGAAATCTGCTCTCCTTTCCCCAATTCCGGGCAAAGACTTTGGAAAGGGGTTTAATTACACTTGTCATTTTCTGGGATTTCAGCCACGAATGCTTCTGAAAATGAATGGTGAGATATTTATTGTTGCTTGCTCTATGTGCACTGTAATTGTTATTCCATTAGGTTGATGTTTGGAATATATTTCATTGATTGATTAATTCCTGGGATCCTTTGAAATGCAGCGTGAACTATGCTGAGTCAGAGACCAATAAAAAGATTCCAGTATGCAATTAACTGCTGATTTAAGGTTATTAATGACAATTGCTGTTCACTCATTTCCATGTTTCTTCAATACTGTGTATTATTGAAAGTCTGACCTGAAAGCAACAGGAAAGTTTATAGTGGATGTGAACAATTTGCTTGCATACATAATTTACTCTTTCTATGTTTTGGTTGATGTTTTTAAAAAAAACAGTTACCGTAAAAAACAAAGAAACCCTAATTATATTTTTTTCAGGTATGAAATTTTTGTGATTTGAAGACTTGTACTTGGAAAATGCAGTCTGGTTTTAGTTGACTGCAGAAATGTAATCCTGGGCAGAGAACACAAGAATTATATTTTCACCCACAGATCATGTATACAGACTGTTTTGTTTTTCAATATACATTCAATTGTATATCTATAATTTAGAAGACAAAGAAAAATGATGGACAGATTTTCAGTTCCATCAGCACTACACAATTGACATCTTACTCTGTACCTGGAAAATTTTATATTTCTTTAAAAAAAGACCATTGAATCCATCTGGTAGAAAATGCAGAAGGATGCTTTCCAGACACATTAATCTTGTATCAGACTTTGCAGCAGTGCTGTCAAATGTTACAATAATTTCAAACTTAATTGCACTAGATTTTGATGAATGTAGCAACTGAGTGCTTCCAGCAGACATGTGACATGTTTTGCGCACGGGCTGACCAAAGTAGGTCAGCTGATCGGAATGTTATTTGTTGAAGGTTTTTATTATCTAGTTATATATTGTTTATATGTGTACATTTTTATTTTAATGTAACATAATCCCCAAATGAAATGAGCATTAATCCAGGTCTACAACTAAGTGGATATTTAATGCATATGCAGATAGTTTTTGGGGTGAAATGTGCATTTCTAAAGTAACCATATGCTGAGAAGTAGGTTAACTCTGTTGATACAGCTTCAATTTAAGCCTGTTAAGTCAAATTGCATCAGATAAACTTCAAGAAGAGTGACAAGGGATCGATTTTTTTTTTAAAAGTTCTTCCAGATAGAAGTGCTCTGTCACCAGCATTCACAAACGTTAATGGCTATCTGATCAAGCCGAATTCCTGCGATTGATATCACTTCATTTTCAAAATATAGTGTCATTATTACTGAATTCTTGAAAGGGACAAGAAATCAAAGCAGGTTAGTATAGTGACGCACTTTGTTTCAATGAGATAAATTCTCATTCTTCTAAACTATTGTCAGAATATGCTCAATTTATTCAGCTTTTTATCAAATAACAACCCTCTTATCCCTGGGGCTAATTGAGTAAACTTTTACTGCACCACTTCTAATCCTTCCTTTGATATGAAGATGAAAACTGCACATGTTCCTCCAGATATAGTTTCACCAAAGTCTTTCAATTGTTGCAAGAGTTATTAATTCATGTACTCCAGTCAACTTGCAAGAAAGGTGAACATGATTTTTGCCTTCCTACTTGATTGCTGTATTCATGTGCTAATCTTCTGTGCACCTAAGCCCTTCTGAAAATCAAACTTTGTAAAAAGTTTTTCTTTTACTCTTCCTGATACCAAAGAGGCAGCACTGTGGCTCAGTGGTTACCACTGCTGCCTCACAGCACCAGGGACCCGGTTCATTTCCACTCATTGGCAACTGTGTGGAGTTTGCATATTCCCCTCACATCTGTATGGGTTTCCTCTGAGTAGTCCGGTTTCCTCTCACAGTCCAAAGATGTGCAGGTTAAGTGGATTGGCCATGCTAAATTGCCTATAGGGTCCAGAGATTTGCAAGCTAGATGGATTAGCCATGGGAAATGCAGGGTTGCGGGGATAGAGTAGAAGGTTGAGTCTGGGTGGGATGCTGTTCAGAAGGTAACTGTGAACTCGATGCTCCAAATAGCCTGTTTCCACGCTATAGAGTTTCTATGATTCTATGCAAGTGAGTAATTTACCAATATTGTACTCCATCTGCCACCTGTTGCCCACTTACTTAACCTGTCTCTGTTTTATTGTAGCATCTGTATATCTTCCTCATTGTTCACTGTCATAATTAGTTTTGTATTATGAGCATGGTTGGATACATTACCCTTAGATTTTTTAGTCTGACTCATTAATATTTGATATAGCTTGTAAATAGCTGAGGCCCTCACATGAACTTATGGCAATCCACTTTGCCAACTTAAGAATTTCTTGTTTACCCCAATATGCTGATTCGTGTCCATTATCCTATCCTCCCATTTTAATGCTAATGCATTATCCAGTTTCACAGGCATTTATATTTTGCATATTAACCTTTTGTGCGGTCCCTTATCAAATGTCATTTGCAAATCCAAGTATTCTACATTAACAGACTC